GGTCACACGTGCTTCCTTTGTGGAAAACTATCAAACTGCACCTTCGTTATACTTCTACAGGAAGACTTTCGAAAGATTATATAAGGAATAATATGAGACACCAGGTCCTCTCCCCAATTCCAGCAGGAGACCGTTTATTCCCTGGAGGAAACTGAGCTCTGGCTCAAAGACACCAGGGAGAGCAGAGAACACTGTTCTGAAAGCAGGGGATCAAACACGAATCCACACACTGAGCTCTGAGATTCCAGCTCTTTCTCTACTGCACTCCCTGGACCCCGGCATGCTCTGCCCAGGTAGAAGACCAAAGGACTGCCCTAAATAACACTGACTCACCCCAGGGAGAAGACCCACAGATACTGTCTTTGGAAGTTCCCCAACGAAGCCACAAGGCTCACCCTCGACAGCCGTGCTGTGAAGATGCAAGGAGGAGAGGCCTCACCCACAGACCCTGGCACCCGACTCACTTCTCAGGGGCTCCCTTTAAAGAGGAGCAGAGAGAGGATCACTGTGCGTGCTGTCACTTCAATCGTGTCTGACTCTTCACAATCCCACGGACTGTAGCCTGCCAGACTCTTCTGTCCATGGGATTCTCTAGACAAGAACACTGGAGTTGGTTGCCATGATCGCCTCCAGGGGATCTTCCCAACTCAGGGATGGAACCCAAGACCGCTGCGTCTCCTCCATTGGCAGGCAGGTTCTTTACCACTAGCACCACCTGGGAAGCCCTAAGGATCAGCAGTGAAGTCAAGTTCCTAACATAAAAGTCAGACACCTACACAAACAGGAAGAAAGAAACCAAGACAGCAAAAGATACATCCTCAGAAAAGGAAGAAATGCACCCATTGCAGGGAAGGGAGTGAGTGGGGACAGAATGCTGCTAAAATGCACAGAAATTAAACACACAAAGAAAGACCTCTTGAAAAATAAGGACAGCAGAAATTCAGAAGGTTAAGATAAAGTAGAGAAACCTCGTTAAAAGTAGGGCATTAAGACAGAGGAAAATTAGAGCATCAGAGGACAAACGATGAGGTCCTGCCTAACTCATAGGAATTCAGAGGCAGGATCAAAGGGAAAAAAGAGAAAATAAAAGGGGAGAGAGTATCACAAAATACGAGAAAGTTTCCCAGAACTGAAGGGCATGTTTTTTGGTTTTTTTTTTTTTTCAGATCAAGTGTTCATCATAGTGACTGAAATGAAGAGTGCCAAAAAAGAAAATCCTAAAACCTCTTTAGGGTTGTTTTAAAAAAAAGCAGGGGGTGGGGGGAAGGGGGGGAGGAGGTCTACAAAGACAGGGATCAGAAGAGTATAACACTTTTTAATAGCAACTGTAGAAACAAAAAAACAACGGTGCACTGGCTTCAAAGTCCTGAGGAAACATGTTTTCCTATCCAGAAACCAGTCAAATTGTCAAACATGTGAGAAAATATTTTTAGAGATACAAAGGATGCAATAAATTTTGTCTCCCATGTCCCCTTTCTCAGGAAGATCCTAGAAGATTTTCCATTAAAAAAGAGGAGTAAACCAAGCAAGAATCACTAGATACAGGACAACTTATCAAAAACACACGAGAGACGAAAAGGGCATTGCCAGGAAAACGGTGAAAGACACCCCAGGACAACAGGTGGGCACCAGACCTCCTGAGCAGCACCCATGCTGCTCCAGGAAGGAAGAAGTCTCCACGAACAGAGGGCTGAGAAGAGGGTTAGAGTTCTGTCACCTTGACAGCACTAGAGAAAAAGAAAAGGACACTCATCTCTATGCCACTAACCAGCCACATTTAAGTGCCTCAGGGATGAATTACAGTTGCACGCTCAAAGCCACGTCAGCCTTCAACACCCTTAACCGAACATCGACACCTACACACCCAGAGAGTGAGAGGAGCTGTGGCCGGGAGACAGGGAGGAGACGCAAATCGCCACTCTCCACAGCGATGTCAAGCGCGGTCCAATAACGAAAAGTTCAAAAACAGCAGCAGATACATACTATCTGGGAAGCTGGAGAAGACAGCAAGCAGGGAGCCCTGAGGATCAGAAGTAGCTGTCTAGCGGACAGGACGTGGTAGGAGGGGCTGGAGTTCCAAGCACCTATTTCTTGTCTTACTGCAAGATTTCGTGCTAATTTATATAAAATATTACTTTGATGGGACAAAAGTTTAAATTTTTTAAAATACGAAACAAAACCAAGAAAGGCACAAAACAGAAGGCAAGAAAACGAAGGAGGGTGAGCTGCAGCGGGAAGACGACGGTAAGACACCGTTTCTCCACAGCTTCCGCAGCAGTTCAGGTGAGAGCTGACAGCCAGTTGGAGGGTGTTGTGCTGAGGGATGGGAAGCAGAGCAGAAGGGAGGATGCACTGAAAAGCTATTTACAGATTAGGAATCAATAGACATGGGGGATCGATCAGGAGCTTCTAAAACATCAACAGGCAAGGCAATGCCCCCCTCTACCCAGAGATTTATTTATTTAGTCCATAAATGTTGACTCTGGGGCTATCATATTTCCCTATGTTATTAGGAGCATTTTGATTTTCTTTTTGTTTAGGTTTTAATATTTGGATTATTATGAAATATACAAATAGGAAAATACAGAACACAATAATGATCATTCTAGTATGTACTATTCAGCTTTTCAAATATTAACATTTTTAACACTTTGCCTATTTGTCTCTAACTTTTTTTAAAGAAATAAACATTATGGATGCAGTTGAAACCCTCTTCAAACCATTCCTGAATCACATCCCCTTAACCGCCTCCCAGAAGGTAAATGCTAGCCTGATTTTGGCATTTCACCTCTTCCTCCACCTCGTCTCCAAGATGAAAGTGCTGGTTTGGATAAATTCTGATGCCCCTTCCTGTTCTAAGATGGCAGGACTGAAGAGCATGATGCAAAATTCTTGATGGGAAATACACAAAAATACTTCAAATAAAAATTTCAAATGCCCAAAACACACTAAATCATGATATTACCCTTTAGCAAAAAAACAAAACAAACAAAAAAAATCACAGTAACTTTATTACAGGAGAGTCAGTAAAAACAGTGTCGTCAGGGCACAGGGCATATAACACCTAGGCTCAGAAGCCCCTGCGGCCCCCTCACTGTGCCCGGAGCTCCAGGGAGGAAGGAGGAAGCGCGCGAGCACAGCTTTCTGGGGCTCTCACTGCGCGGGGGCCAGCTCACTGAGGCACCAAACCGCTTCTGCTGTCACAGGGCTCTTCTCTGCCCGCCATTCAGAGCCAAAATACTCTCTTAAAAAATGCGCAGCACCACTTTTACTTTAAAATTGCACATGAGGAGGCAAGACAGTTACATGCATTACACCTCGACCCTTGTGTGCATCTTTTTCATCTTCTGGGTGATAAAATGGGAAGTGCACATAAAGCACTCTGCCACATTCAGTGTACCATTATCCCAAGGAAAACACTTGTACGATTATTTGAATTGTGAGTCAAACTGGTCACAATGTTCATGGAACACCACTTTCACTTGAAAGCACAACTGACAAACTCAGTATTCAGACTTGGGTACTTGGCAGACGTTTTCTCTACAATGAAGTGAGAAGGTCACTTCAGGAAAAACAACTGACAGCATTCGTTGCCAAGGGTAGCCTTCAAGCTTTCAACTGAAATTTAAAATGCTGGAAAACTCGTTTCCCCAGTGAGCCTGACAACTTCCCAATACTTCAAGATTTTTTCTGATGAGATCAGTGGTGATATTAACAGTGGCCATTCCTTGAAACTTCATAACGAAGAATGTTAACATTTGGAATATCTGTATCATGCCAACAAACCAGTATTTCCAAATGATCAATACTTAATGCAATGAAATGATGTATGGGCAAAGATCCATTCGAAGTGCGAGAAACACCAGTGGATCCTAATGTAAAAGAATTTTAAAAGTCTACTGAAAGGGTTTTACATTCCACATTGAAATCCACATGTAAGAAATTACCACTTAAATCTGCCTGCAATGCAGGAGACCCAGGTTCAATCCCTGGGCCAGGAATATCACCTGGAGAAGGAAATGGCAACCCACTGCAGTATTCTTGCCTGGCGGACTACAATCCACAGGGTCACGAAGAGTCGGACACAACTTAGCAACTGAGCATATCAAAGAAGAATATTCACAGTCATCTGAAAAGACAATTGAAACACTCTTCCCTTCTCTAACATATCCACACAAACTTCATATTAATACTTAATGGATTATTCTTTCTAGATGTTAAAGATCATAAACACATAATCACAATGATTAATGATCATAGCTAAATCTCTGATCATTAACAGGCATTTACAAACAAATGAACTATTTGTTCTTTCTTTAAAAGTTATATCCTTCTGGAGTTATTGTCTCATATATTTGCAACAAATACGTAAGCATCAGAGGCTTTATTTATTTACCACAGAATCAAGATTGATCAAAAAAAAAAAAGAAAATGAAATTAATTTGGTACATCCTTCAATCTGTTTCACAAAGATGTAGATTAAAGTCCCCGCCCTCTAGTTATGAAAGAGCAGACCCTTTTCATTTACCATGTGACTCTTGAAACCTATACACCAATCACCCAGATGATGTGGTATTAATGGATTTAAACTTTAGTTCTTAGATTTTGAAGGAAACATCTTTTCATGGAAAAAACTGACCTTTTTGTAAATTTTCAAAGTATTTGACCAAACCCCTATAGTTCAGAAGTAACACACCAAATATCAATCCCAGATGCATTTGTAGATTGGTTAAGAAATACAAGTGGTTTAGGAGAAATGTTCTTCTTGTACAAATGTATCCAGTTAATGAATATCTAAATCATTCATTTCAAAGGCAGGGACCCTGAAAAAAATTTCAGAATGAGAACTGATAGTGTCTTCACTACCAAAGTCCTACTACCAGGCCCTCTGAAAGAGAAAGGTTACCCACTGCAGCATTTTCACTCAAAATAGTCAAGAAACAATCAGAAGCTGACATCTCCTCCCCTTCCTAATTATCCACCCGCTTCTGCACGCTCACCTTTGCAGTTCGCTGAGCCCCCTTGCAGTTGGTAGACTGGGATTCTGCCTTAGAAAGTTCTGTTTTAAATTGAGATGAGTGAGGTCCTGGCTGTAAAAGAGGTTGGCAGGCAGATGCTCCAAGCTACAACAGGAGAGGTCCACTGAGCTAATGCGCTGTGACGCGACCTACAGGGGGATAAAAACCACAGTTCAGTTCTCAAAGCATCCTTTACCCTGTAACTGCTTTCCACAGACAGAAACAAGTTAACCTCATTTGGGAACACAGACTCGCTATGCAATTAGCACCATTATTCAAATCTAAACCAAGAGTATTTAGACAGAACTGAGCAAAGGATTAAAGCATTAACCAAGGCAGGAAATAGTGTCCCCCAGGAAGGTGCTTACAGTGACCTAGTATAGGAGACAGGTGACAAAGAGCACAGATTATCTTATCAGGTTTAGTGATACCCGTAATCCCTTCAACCACAGGGGTCATGTTCCTGAACACATTCACGGAAAGAGAATTCAAAGCTAAACAATGTTAAGACCTTAGAGTAAATACAGGGTTGGAAGACAGACACTAAGATCTAGACTGAACTTAAACAAAAGCCCCTGAAAATATGGATTTAAAAACAGCACACAGAAAAGCACGCTCAGTGGCCTTGCATGTACCTTTAATAATAACAGCAGCATATAATCAGATACCACTGCTTGCCTGTTATAAATTTTTCCAGTCATGTCTCCCACAATGTCAGTTTTGCTTCTTGTAGGTAACCTAAGTGAAATTTACTGTACGTCTAAATGTTTATCCACATATTCAAAGTATCCCCAGTTAAATGACTCCTACGACTGCCAGAGTCCCAGGGCTACAGGGCATGCTGGAGGCAGAAAGAGCACTGGGCGCCCTGCGCTTCTCTGTTGCATATGCTGGGAACCACGGTGCCGAGCTTTGCCAGGGACAAGGCTTCAGGACCACTGACAGCTTCACTCTCCTTGCCTCACCAAGGCTGTGGGGTTACTGTTCTAGGATCTGGGTTGATACCTCCTCATGCTCTTCATCTTCACCAAAGCTTTATGGAAAAAACTCCACTTCTTATCTGTGATCAGTCTGATGCCCTTTTCTATTAGCAAACCCCTGCTTCACTCTTTCCTGATTACAAAAGGCAGCAGAACATGGCTCTCAGGGGGGTTGGCTCTGGTTCCCTCAGTCCAGAGCTGAGAGAACCTGAGTGCACCACTGAGTTCTCCAAACTCCCACTTTCTCACCTGTTTAACAGGCATGAAGATGGCACCTACATCTACACAGCTGGCTCAGAGACTGCACTCAGTAACTGGTGACTGCTATGACCATTTATGGTTGCTAAGCCTACTTCCAAATAAAGCTTACATTCACCGAACCCACATTCTTCTGATGCTAAAAAAAGGTATTCAGGAGTAAATCTGCATGACAAACACTGCTGATGGCACGTTTGAGGTTGGAAAGGAACTGTGAAAGCTAAGGGGACAGTGGGATGGAAAAGGGTTGGCAGGGCTCAACTCAAAAGATTTTACAAAGTAAGTCTGAGTTCGCGTTTCAGCAATTTCATCTTCTCTTGAATTTTCACCCTTAAGTAAGAAAAAGAAAATCCAAAACAGGGGCAGGTCACCCACGTAAATCAAATGATGTGGAAAAAAGGCCAGAATTTAATGGGCCTGCAAGGCAGGTACAAACCTGCCACGGCCACACAAGATCCCCTGGCGGAAGCACATTTATGAGAAGTAAGGCTGAAAGGGTTACTGGACTCACCCAGGAGCACACCTGTGGAGGACGCCTGGGGTCTCGGGCCTTCCGCCTGCTGAGGGGCGGGCGCAGAACAGAGGCCCCGTGGCCCAGGGAGGGCGCCCCGGGAGGAGGGCGCCCGGGAGGAGGGCGAGCACTGCCTGCGGTTGGTGCTGCTGCTTGCTCACAGCGCTGGGCCTGACCCTTTTGTGACCCTGTGACTGCAGCCCACCAGGCTCCTCTGTCCATGGGATTTCCCAGGCAAGAGTACTCGAGTGGGTGGCCATTTTCTTCTCCCAGGGCATCTTCCCAATTAATACACTCTATGACAAAAGTTTCAATAATCGTTAAGGGCAAGGGCACAGAGCATGATCTAAGGAGCCACAGAAGGCTCCCCAGAGGACCTGATGTCCAAGCTCAAGGCTGACCCTCACGTGGCAATCTCCGTTTCCCCCTGCCCCAAACCCTTTTCCACTTCTTCCTGTAACAAGCCTTCAGATGCACATGACCCTGGAGGGAGCTGCAGTCTGTTGCTCCCAGGGCGGGAGGTGTGTGCACACAGCTCCAGCCATCCCAGCCACACTGCTGAACCCACAAACTGATCCATCGGGGACTGGCATGTGACCCATGCCAGGCTAACTCAAGGCCTTCTCTGGGATACACATTCTGAACCCAAGAGAGCGAGCGAGCCTGCCACTTAGAGCTGCAGTTAAAATGACAGAACCAGATTTGTATATATCAACCTGGATTCCTTAAAAAAGAAACTCAAGCCCAAAATAAATAAATCAAAAACACAAGCTGTAAAATTTTACATACAGTATAATGTCATTCATGAAAAAAATTTTAATACATACAATGATTCCATATATTATGCATGAATAGTTATCTGTGCAATAAAGCTACACACTAAATACACTGATCATTCCCAGATCACTCAGATGGTAAAGAATCCAGCTGCAATGCGGGAGACCTGGGTTCAGTCCCTGGGTTGGGAAGATACCCTGGAGAAGGGAAAGGCTACCCACTCCAGTATTCTAGTCTGGAGAATCCCATGGACAGTGGAGCCTGGCGGGCTACAGTCCATGGGATCACAAAGACTTGGACACGACTGAGCGACTAAACACAGCACATACACTGATCATATGTCAAATTAATGACAGCGACCGCCTCCAGGGAAGCAAGGAGGGAAATGAAAATAGGAACGGAAAGACAGGAAATCTGGAATTTATCTATAATGTTTATTCACTTTATAATAAGAATAGAAAGTATGGAGGAACTACGTCTTCCCAGATGGCACTAGTGGTAAAGAATCTGTCTGCCAATGCGGGAGACATAAGAGACGAGGGTTTGAACCCCTGGAGGAGGGCATGGCAACCCACTGCAGTATTCCTGCCTGGAGAATCCCATGGACAGAGGAGCCTGCTGGGCTACAGTCCATGCGGTCCCAAAGAGTTGGATATGACTGAAGCGACTTAACACACACGCATGTCAGAATGTTAGACAACCAGGAACTGTAATATTATTCTTTGTGCTCTTCTGTGTGTGCGCGTTTAACTGAGAAAAAAGCAACGTGATCTCAATATAAAAACATCAGTAAAAAGGTAAGGAGATCCTGCAGCTCCTTTGAGGTCACTGTAAAGATTCCAGCTTCAGCAAAATGGGCCATCGTGCAAGACAAGAGTCTCTGTCTCTGACTGTTACGCGCACAGAGGGGGCCTTGGCCCGGCCGGCTCACAGCGGGCTGTGCCCCACACTCAGCGGGCTGTGCCCCGCGTTCAGCGCAGCCCTCCCTTGGGAGCGCCTTCTGGGAGGCTGACAGGGCGCCGCTTCACCGCCCTCCTCTCTCACCAGCCGCCGGCCCGGCCGGGCGTTCCTCCACCAGGGAGTCCTCTGCAGAGGACACATTCCCCTTTTGGCTGAAGCATCAGGCTGAATAAGTACTCTCTTTGGACAACTACAAGATAATGATTAAATGTCAAGTCGGATTTGATTTCTTTCCTCATTCTGGACCGCAAGCCTGTTCCTGCTGGAAACCAGGGGGAGGACGGCTCAGGACGAAAGCTCAGCAAGCAAGAGGCCTGTGGGGATCACGGGGGAACGGGGGCAGGGATGGAGAGCAGAAACCAGATGTGTCCTGACGGCAGTGGGCGGCCAAGGCGACCACGAGAACCGAACCATGAGTGGCACCTCTGCCCTGTGCCAGGCCCTGCAATAAAGGAGATTTAAGGGCTTCCCCATAGATCAGCCTGGGCAGGTAAGGGCGCCATCACAAAGAGCACAACTCCCAAATGAAAGAACAACCAATAGGTCTAACCAAAGAGGCCTACACAGCACCTATTAAATCTAAGATCTTCCTCAAAATAAGAAATAAATGAGAAAGCCACCTCTGTACACTTCACAGCAAGTAGCCTTTTATTGTGGTGGTTGTCCAGTTGCTTCAGTCGTGTCCAATTCTCTGCGACCCTGTGGACTGCAGCACGCCAGGGCTCCCTGTCCATTACCAACTCCCTGAGTTTACTCAAACTCATGTCCATTGAGTTGGTGATGCCTTCCAACCATCTCATCCTCTGTCGTCCCCTTCTCCACCTGCCCTCAATCTTTCCCAGCATCAGGGTCTTTTCTAATGAGTCAGCTCTTCGCATGAGCTGGCCAAAGTATTGGACTTTCAGCTTCAACATCAGTCCTTCCAATGAACACCCAGGACTGATCTCCTTTAGGATGGACTGGTTGGATCTCCTTGCTGTCCAAGGAACTCCCAAGACTCTTCTCCAGCACCACAGTTAAAAAGCATCAATTCTTTGGTGCTCAACCTTCTTTATGGTCCAACTCTCACATCTATACATGACTAATGGAAAAACCACAGCTTTGACTATATGGACCTTTTTGTTGGCAAAAGTGATGTCTCTGCTTTTTAATATGCTGTCTAGGTTGGTCATAGCTTTCCTTCCAAGGAGCAAGTGTCTTTTAATTTCATCTTTACAATAACTCAGCACAGTAAGGACTGATCTCCACTTCAAAGATGAAGGTTAAAGGGTCTGCCCAAGGTTGCATGGTGAAAGCCCAGCCACACAGAGTCTGAATGACAGCCTCAAGTTCAAGTCCTACCCAGAGGGAGGCTCCTGTAACTGCCACGGTCAAATCCTAACAGAGCCCTCAGCCCAGAGCAAAGACAGTTTGATGTCATCCTTCATAGACCAACGTCAGTTTTCAGAAGATCAGTTCAAGTCACCATCGCTTGGGAAATCAGTGCTAGTTTGTACTAACAATGACAAAAAATTTTGAGGCTAATAATTTAAAGTAAATCAAATGGGATATTTTTCCCCATGAGCCTACACATGTTGGGAGATACATTAAAATGCACATGAATCCCAACCATAGCTTCCCAGTGGTAAAAGAATCCACCTGCCAATGCAGGAGATGCACGGGA